CCTTTGTGTCCTACGCCATCGCCTTCCCGCAGGACTTCCAGGGGCTGCTGGACACGTACTGCGTCAGGAGGTGAGGACACCAGTTCCTGCCCAGCGTGGCGTTGCCCATGGACATGTCCCTCTTTGCTTGGTGGCTTTGAAGGAGGGACGTTGCCACCTGGCAGCATCCCTGCGCTTCACTGTTGCGTGATGCAGGGCTTGGACCCGCTGCTGGACCTGCCCTGTGTCCCTGTCCCACCAGGCAAGGGACATTAACCCTCTCCTCGCCCATGCCAGGAGCGGCTTGCCGAATTTCTGTGCCGTGGCACTGGCGCTGCACCAGCTGGGGTACCAGGCTATCGGGGTGCGCCTGGACAGCGGGGACCTGGCCCAGCAATCCAAGGAGATGCGCCGAGTGTTCCGAGCCTGCGGCGCTCAGTGAGTCCTCCACCAAACCTGGGTTGGCTGCCACCAGTCCCCAGCTTCCCCACCTTGGGCACCCAGCACCTCGTCCTGCTGGGGCGGGAGCCCTCGCTGCTCAGGGAGGGTGCTGCGAGCAAAGCCAGGGGTGTCCCCCCCCAAACCCCTCGCTCACTCCCCTGCTCCTCTCCAGCTTTCAGGTGCCCTGGTTTGAGACCATCCCTATCGCTGTCAGCAATGACATCAGCGAGCAGAGCCTGGAGAAGTTCAGCCAGGAGGTGAGGTAGCTGCTGTCGGGGCTGAGACGTCACCTTGGCTTTCGCTGGCGCCGCTGAGGTTTGGAATGCGTGGGGTGGACGTGAGAGTCACCTGGGACTTTCTCCCTGGGTGAGAACAGAGAAGACTTTCTAGGCTGGGAAAAAAAAAATGGCTTTTGGGTGGGACAGACGGACAGACAGACACCGGGCAACTTCAGGCAGAGCATCCTCTGACCTGCCCTGTGGCTCTGGTTTTGGCACGGGCTTGTGCTTGATGGCCGCTGTCTTCTCTGCTGCTTCAGGGGAATGAGATCAACATCATCGGCATCGGGACACACCTGGTGACATGTCCCCTGCAGCCGTCGCTGGGCTGCGTTTACAAGGTAGGGTTGGCAGCTCCCTGCTCTGCTTGGCACGTGGGGCTCCCTGGCTTCTCCCCGGCTTCTCCCCGGCTTCTCCCAGCTGGGGCCAAGTAGCAAAGGGTGCTCCAGCCCTAAGGGACTCTGCTGCAAGGCCAACAGCATCAAATCACACAATGGTTTGGGTTGGAAAGGACCTTTAAAGATCATCCAGTCCACCACCCCCCCACACCCCTCTCACCCCCAAGGCCAGGGACATCTCCCACTAGATCAGGTTGCTCAGAGCCCCGTCCAACCTGACCTTGAATGTTTCCAGGGATGGGGCATCTACCACCTCTCAGGGCAACCTGGGCCAGTGTCTCACCACCCTCATCGTAAATAACATCTTATATCCAGTCTAACCCTATGCTCTTTCGGTTTAAAACCATTGACCTGTCTCGTGTCACTACAGGCCCTACTAAAAAGTCTACCCCCATCTTTCTTACAAGCCCCCTGTAAGTACTGAAAGGCCACAAGAAGGTCTCCCCGCAGCCTTCTCTTCTCCAGGCTGAACAACCCCAACTCTCTCAGCCTTTCTCCATACCAGAGGTGCTCCAGCCCTCTGATCATTTCCGTGGCCTCCTCTGGACCCGCTCCAAGAGGTCCATGTGTGTCCTGTGCTGGGGACCCCAGAGCTGGACGCAGTGCTCCAGGGGGGTCTCAGGACAGCGGAGTAGAGGGGGAGAATCCCCTCCCTCGACCTGCTGGCCACGCTGCTTTGGATGCAGCCCAGGAGATGATTGGCTTTCTGGGCTGCGAGCACGCATTGCTGGCTCACATTCACTTTTTCATCCACCAATACCCTCCCAAGTCCTTCTCTGCAAGGCTGCTCTCAATCCACTCATCGCACAGCCTGTATCCATGATTGTGATTGTCCCAACCCAGGTGCAGCACCTTGCACTTGGCCTTGTTCAACTTCATAAGGTCCACACAGGCCCACCTCCCCAGCCTGTCAAGGTCCCTCTGGATGGCATCCCTTCCCCCAAGGGAATCAATGGCACCACTCAGCTTGGTGTTATCTGCAAATTTGCTGGGGGTGCACTCGATCCCACCATCTCTGTCATCTTTCTTGGAAATAACAGTCATGAGACTGCTACAGCACCAAGCTTGCAGGCAGGAGGAGGCAGGATGTCCAACTTTGAGGTTGGTTGTTTTTTTCTTTTTTTTAATGATTTCTTCAGCTGGTTGGTGTCAGTGGTCTCTCCCCGCCCCCCCCCAGTGCGGGTACACACATAGAGGGGACAGAGCTCAGCACGGTCCCCAGCTGGTACTTGTGACAAAAATAAGGTGCCCATCCCCATAACCTTCTCCTACAGCTGGTGGAGGTCAATGGCTCCCCATGCCTGAAACTCACAGAAGAGGAGGAGAAGATGACGATCCCAGGGACTAAGACGTTCTATCGGCTCTATGACGCTGCCGGTGAGTTGGGACCCCTTGTCATGGTGCTACCCCACTGGCCTGCCCTTCTGCTCCATAACCCTGTCCCTGGTGTCCCGTGCACCCACTGGCCCCTAACCTGGCACCCCTGCAGGTCATCCCTTCATGGACCTCATGGCTCTGGAGGAGGAGCCCTCGCCCAGCGCAGGGCAGGAGCTGGCAGTCCACGTCCTGGGGCGGCTTGGCGAGGCCAGCAAGGTCATGCCCACCACCGTGGAGCCCCTCCATTGCACGTACTTCAGAGATGGCCAGGTCAGGGGTGGCTCCGCCTTCTGGTGTTGGGTTGTCCTTCCCCACGTTGGGTGAAGAACCAAGCCAGGGCCATGGTGTCTTGGCAGTAATGGCAGCATCAAAGGGTTAAACCCCAGCGTTTCCTTGCATCTGAGATGTCCCCTGTCACATCGGGGTGGGGGGGGGCCACCATCACCTGGACATGGTGGCGTCGGAGTCCAGCCTTGAGCTGGCTCGTTGGGGATTGGGGCTGGGTGGTCAGCACCCGACATGGACATGGTCCCGCATCTCTGTCCCACAGGTGTGTGAGCCGCTGCCCAGCCTGCCAGAGGTGAGGACCCACGCGCAGGCGTCCCTCAGCCTGCTCAACCCCATTCATCGACGGCTCCATGAGCCGCAGCCCTACCCGGTACGTCCACCATTTGCCAGGCACCATCGGTACCCACCCAGGAACCCCGCCCGGCCCCGGTGGCCTGAGCAAAGCCAGTGTGGCTCCACTGTGGAGCTGCAGCAGTGCGTGGATATGGGGCTGCAGTCCTGCCTGGGGAGCGTACGCTCACTGTCCCCTCTCGCTCCCATTGCCAGGTGGCCATGACAGAGAGGTTGCACTGCCTCCTCACCGAGCTGAGGCAGGCCAGCCAGTGACGGGGTCCCCACTCACCCCTCACCCTGTGCCAGCCCACACTGGGCACAGCCCCTGCCTGGGGCCGGCTCTTCTGCGCTCATTTGAAGACCAGCTAATTGGGAATTAATGGTTCTAATGACATTGCTGCTGCATGGTGCTGATCTGAAGACCCTGGAGGAACTGGAAGCTCTCCCTGGGGTCCCAGGAGCAAAGCTGAGAAGAGTGGGATGGGGCAGGCAGAGCTGGGAGGCAGCTGCCCACATGTTCTCTGGAAGTGATGGGCCTTCACTGCCTGCCTCGGTGGCCTTACTAGCCCTGCACCTTCTGCCATGGCAGCACTGCCCATCTTGGTGGCCCTGACAACCTTGTGCCTTCTCCTGTGGCAGCGCTGCCCGCCTTGGTGGCCCTGCACCTTCTGCCATGGCAGCACTGCCCGCCTTGGTGGCCCTGCCAGCCCTGCACCTTCTGCCACGGCAGCGCTGCCCGCCTTGGTGGCCCTGCCAGCCCTGCGCCGTCTGAGGTGGCAGCCAATGCTGAAGCTCTGCAGTGGCACCAGAGACCAAGTCTTGAGTGCACAAGAAGGGGTCCACCATGAGAAGGGCCAGCCTGGTCCCCAACCCACATCCTGGGGGACATCCGTGGCAGATGCACTTTGTGCTTCCTATTCTCAGCTTTGGCTCTGTGGCCACATTCTTTCCATTTTGTATGGGTTCCCATGATGGGGTGGAGGCTGGTGCCAGGGTGATGACACCGGCTCCAGGGTGATGCCTGCAACTCTCTAAGCTGATGTTCATAGAGGAAGCGTGGCACTAATCCCTGTAATTAACTTGATTCAAAGCAAAAAAATGAAACAAAGGCCTTTTTATCCACTACGGCTACAGCCACACCACATGGCTGCCCTGGTCCTTCGAAACACTCATTGCCTTCAGCTTGAATGTTTAATTCAACATCCTTCACTTCACAGTTTATAACTGAGTAAAGTTGGAATGATAAAGCAATGCACCCAGCGGGTGCCTCACAGCCCCATTTTGTGGCATCCTAAGCCCCTAATTCCAGTCAAAATCCCTTTGTAGCTCCATTGGGCATTGGTCTCATGCCCAGACAATGACTGGTTGAAGGCTTTATCAAGACAGGGTCAAGAAAAGTTGTTGCATGGAATGGTAAAAAAACCTGCACAGACTGAATCTTCCACAAGACATGCGTATTTTCTCTAATCCTGCCCAAATCTGTAACGGGGAGATGGTAAATCTTTTCCCCTGAGCTTGTAAAATGGACAGACTGGGAACTGAGCCACCCAGCAGAAAGGTGCAGTGAGGGAGGGCAAGAGGGAAATCCCCAGTGAGACATACCTGCACATCCACAGGCACCAACCCTCTGCCTGCACTGCACGCCCTCCTAGGAACAGCCATGGTTTAGATCTTTGCAGCACGTGGTGGGGGTGGCAATTAAAGAGCTTAATGAACAAGGCCTGATGATGGTCTCTTGTTTCTAAAAACACCTAACAGGCTGGATATCCCTGTTGCGATGCTCCAGTTGTGGGCACTGTATCACACTTAGCGTTTTAAGAGAGGGGGGAGGGGGAAAAAAAAAAAACCAAAACAACCCCAAGAAACACTCCCAAGAAAAACCAAGAGCAGTTTGCTATTAAAACTTACATTTTTTTAGAGCAGAAGCACCAGAGATACAAGAGCCCAGCATACCTGAGTAGAGATTGTCCTGAGTTCTTAGAAGAGAAGGAATGAAGAGCAGCTTTAAGTAGATGAAGAAAGTGCGACAGCAGCACTGTCCGGCCCCTCGGCCCTCTCCACGGCCACAGAGGATCAGCCAGAGGCCGAAGTCAGTTCACAAGTGGGAGCAGGGCAAACCCATCCTCGGGACGATCTGTTGCTAGATCTGCCACCATCCCTCCTACCCCTAGACAGACTCCCAACCTCAGGTGCTTTGGCTTCACCTAGGACCACTTTGAGTTATCTCCAAGGATGGAGACTCCACCACCTCTCTGGGCAACCTGTGCCAGGGCTTGTCACCCTCACGGTGAAGAAGTGTTTCTTGATGTTCGGAGGGAACCTCCTGTGTTTCAGTTTGTGCCCATGGCCTCTGGTCACCATGAAGAAGATCCTGGCTTGGTCTTCTTTGCAGGTGCAAAGACCTTTCAGGTGTTTACTGACATTGCTGAGATCCCCCTGAACCTTCTCCAGGCTGAACACTCCCAGCTCTCTCAACCTTTCCTCATAGGAGAGGTGCTCCAGTCCCTTCATCTTCATGGCCCTTTGTTGGACTCTCTTCATCTCTCTCGTACTGGGAAGCCCAAAAGTGGACCCAGTGCTCCAGGTGTGGCCTTATCAGTGCTGAGCAGAGGGGAAGGATCCCCTCCCTTGACCCACTGGCAACACTTCTCTGAATGTAGTCCAGGACATTGTTCACCTTATCGCTCTCTACAACTACCTGAAAGGAGGTTGTAGTGAGGTGGGTGTTGGGCTCTTCTCCCAAGTAGTTAGCAATAGGACAAGAGGAAATGGGCTCAAGCTGCACCAGGGGAGGTTTAGGTTGGATATTAGGAAAAATTTCTTTACTGAAAGAGTGGCCAAGCATTGGAACAGGCTGCCCAGAGAGGTGGTGGAGTCACCATCCCTGGAAGTGTTCAAAAAACAGGCAGACATGGCGCTTTGGGACATGGTTTAGTGGGTATGGTGGTGTTGGGTTGATGGTTGGGCTGATGATCTTAGAGATCCTTTCCAGCCTTAATGATTCCTAGTTTTTACTTTCATTAGAAACTAATCCAGCCACCAAGCCAGGAAACATGAAATTATGACTACCCTTAATTGGTTTAGTGTGGACTTGGTAAGGTAGGTTAATGGTTGGACTGGATGATCTTCAAGGTCTTTTCCAACCTAAACGATTCTATGATTCTCTACCATGAGGACATCTTGCTGCCTCATGGTCAACTTGGTGTTGAGGCCCAAATGCTCAGCAAGGACATTTGGAAGCTGAATCAGACAGCATCGCTCTCTAAACATTAACTGTGAGTTAATGATCTGGGTTCGTTACACACCAGCTGTCCTTTGTAGCCACCACATACAGAAAGAAAGGACACGCCAAAAAGCCGATACAGCCATCAAGCTGTTGAGGTCCTAGTTAGCACCACAACCCTGCTGTCAGCAAAGATCCTAATCCACACGTATCACATGGCCCAAACCAAGAGGACCGATACAAAGCTACAGGCTGCATTATTACAATTACTGCACCCTGCATTAAAGAGGGGGGAAAAAAAAGAGCAGGAGGGAGATTATGGCTGCACATCTGGGGCTCCTGGACGCAGCCCTCAAGGTTTTGGTGTCCTGTCAGCGCAATCTGGAATCTGGGCAACCCAGTTCATAGCACTGATTCCCGTAACAGCTTCCCACTGCCATGACAGCATGTGCTTAATGGCAGAGAACCCCCAGTTTGCAAATTTAAGTTATTTAACTTAAGGAATACCACTTCCCACCCAGAGACCCTAAACCTTCCTGCAGTCACAGCAGAAAATCCAAGTGCTCGTTTTTTCCATTTTTGCCCTTGGAATTCTGTTAACTGATCTTTGGCACATATCTCCAAAGTAGATGCAAAGATGGGACAGTAAGTGCTAAAAGTGAGGTTAAACCACCCGATCATGTAGCAATAGTGCAGACTTTGCAAAAAAGAGGAAGCATAATGAGCTCATATGGTGCTCCTCTGCTCCATCTTTCTTTCAGTTTTGTTCTTTACAAAAATATGTATTTTTTTAAAGCATAGTTGCAGCTCAAGACATCCAATTAATCTCACGGTTGAAAATAAGGGATGGTGGGTAAAAGCGCCAGAGCATTAGTGCTGGATAAGGGAAGTGCAGACAATTCAAGGACGCAGCTTTAGGTGCGGGGTCACATCCCAGACCTCAAGAAAAACCCTTGTCCCGACCCATCTCTTCACGACACCGGTGCAGCTCACACCTCCTGTTTTTTTTCACTCTGGAAGTCCACGTGAGGATGTCTTCTGCAGGGCAAGGCTGTGGTTTTCTCGTGCTCTTTGCAAACCCGAGGATAACTGCTCATATTTTGGTTAGATGCTGGTCCTCAGCTTTGGAAGGAAGGGCTGGCAGGGAGAAAAGGATGTTGGGGAGAATTCTGAGGTAGCGCAGAGCTGCAGAGTGCCTGGGGAGGAAGGAGGGTGGAAAGGCAAGGTAGGAAGTGAGAATAAATTTGAGTGTAAATAATTCAGAGTCCAGGTCTGCCGGAAGTACAAACTATCACTCGATAACGCCAGGTACAGGATTTAAGAAACCTAGACAGGCTGACGTGGATAGCTTGATACCAGACACTGGAAGAGGTAAGAAGAGACAAAAGTGCAAGCTTGGTGCATCCAGGCTTGGCTGCTTTCACCGACTACGAGCTGCAGGGTTGATTCAAGCTCGCATTTCCAACGCCTCGCTGCTCTGCGGCACCAGCCCAAGGCAGTGTCATTTGTAAAGCGCCATCTTCTTGCTCTGGTACATGTACATGTAGGCGTCGCAGAAGAGGCGCTTGGCCACTCCATCCATGTCCCGAGGCTGCTCCAGGGCCAGCACAGCCAGTGGCAAGTCCAGGTATTTGGCAACTTCAGGACACAGCGTTACCGTGGGAATGTTGAAGCCGTTTTCATCACCTAACCCAGAAAGAAGGAGAAAAGTCCAAACCAGGTCCCAAGGGACAAGTACCTACAGCTCAAGCAGATACCATCATGCTCGATAGTTAATGTAGTGCCATAGCTGGGAGATCTGGAGGCCAACAACAAAGTGGGGAAGGACAGAACGCTCCTTGCCCACGTGGCAGCTGGTCCCAGCTGGCTCGACAAGTCCCTTGTTTGAACACAGCCAGAGGATGAAAGCACTAGGAGGAACTCGCATGTGCTTGGCCTGGCCATGCTCTGCTCTGGGGTCTACTTAAATGGTCACTGTTGAAAGCAGGGGCCAGAGAGAGCCTAAATCGTGTAGAGGGCCTCAGAGGAAGCCAGCACCTACGCAACAAGT